TAAGTAAGGTTGGTAATGTCTTTTCCTTAGTTTGGTGTTCTTATTTAACCCAGTGGGTTATCTGAATGAGATTCAATAAAATTTACCATATCCTTTTCCCTTATCTTTCTTCTATGTTTAAATTAAATATATATATATATGTGTGTGTGTGTGTGCGTGTGTGTGTGTGTGTGTGTGTGTATCTTATGCTATTTGCTATGTAGCGATTACTTTTCGCTTTAATTTGAAAAGCTGTAGAGAGTTTGAATTGTAATGTTTTTACACAGAAAAATGTATTTCCTTGCTTTTTTGTTGTTATTCAACATCTAGGGCACTCTGCCTTTTAATTAGTTACCTCACAATATTGTCAATCAGGTAACTAAAACTAAGGAAGGTCTTTGCTGTAAAAATATAGTTAACAAATACATTAATCTCCTTATTCACATTTAGTGATCTCACAAATACCACGGAAGAGAAATGACTGCACGGAAGTAATTTTAACTGTCACAGACTCTGAATCTGCAAAAATAATACCAGAAACTAAGGGACAAGTTCTTTGTCTAAGACATGTACTTAGTCATACCTCACCTTTATGTTACACTCAGGGGAAGAATCCGTTTTAAGGGTATGACTACATGGTTTTTTTTCCAGCTTCCTTTGATATTATTCATTTAGATGATTGACTGACATTGGGACGGGAGTGGTTGGTCAAGGGAGCAACCTTAAACCTTAAACCTGTCCCATTGCAGAATGATACTTGAAAGATTATTGTTTGACACAGAAATGTAAAAGTGGAGTAAGAAAGAAAGGAAAAGTAGGCTTTACACTCTGGAGAAATCAAATGCTTCATCTCATTGTGAAAACAAAGGAAATTTCAAGTTGAAATGCAAGGCTTTCATTACAGGGGAGCTGAGTCATAAAATAAATTCATGTGCTCTACAAAACTAGGCTAGTAGCTTTAGTTTTCTCAGATTTACCCAATGTGCAGCAGGATGTTGTCCAGGTGGAGGCAATATGGTTTGATGGTTAGAGCAAAGTTTTTGCAGTTAAGATCTAGATTTGCAACCTGGTGGCAATATTTAATAGAGTCACACTACGCATTATATAGCCCTCTGTGACTCAGATTTTTTCATGAAAAAAAAAACACCCATAAATAGTTCATACTTCGGAAGTATATTTGGAAGTTTAATATAATAAACCATGTAAACAATCCAGTTGCTAACATACATTCATTTGAATTGATACAAGATGTTTCTTCTAATATATGATCAATAAAATTACAGCATCATTAACCTAGAATTAATAGAAATAAGAAAATTATTCTTTCTATAATTCTGCTGCTTAGAAAGAATATATAAAATGAAAATGTAAAAATATCTATGGCATGCAATTAACACAGGCCTTTCTCTTGAATGAGATTAGGGAAGTACCAGAATGAATCTGCAATAAATCCTGGCAATATGAATTGTTTTAACATTTTTATTCATAAGTAAGCTATTATTAGAAGATTAACCTAAACACTGCAGTTTATTCAGGCAAAGAAACATTCAGGGAACCATCCAGATCTAAGATCGTCTGTGACTTCATTCAAGTATATTCATTACTGAGTACCTTCTCTATGTCAGGGGCTACAGTATGACCAGTGAATAAGATGGATATGTTCCTGACACCGCCTAAAGGAGGAGATGGAAATGTAATAACATAATGCAATACAGGGTATATATAATAAGGACATTTATCAAACAGTCTATGGAGGGGTTTGCTTCATAGAATGCTCCTGGGGTGAGACCAGATGTGAGATGACCTTTAAAGAGGGTGCAGGACTTACCCATGTGAATTAAGGTTAATGAGAAAGCATTCCAAATCCTGGGAGTTGGGCTAAAGACAAACTTCAAACTTGTTTAGACCAAACCAAGGAAAACTTTTGGTAAGAAAGGTATGAAGCAAGACATGCTGAAGCAGAGTTATATTTAAGGCACATGATCTTACTAGAAAACCTTTAATATTTGAATTCAATAATTTCTGAATAACCTAAGAATACATGTTGTAAAACACAACCTATGATTTTAAAGGATATATATGAAGGTAAAATATTATTCTTGTATTTTAAAAATAGTGCTATCAGCTATCCAATGTTACTTTACTTTGGAAAAATTGTCAATCTGAGAAAAATATGCTCTTTGATAGTAAATGCAATATATTCCAGAACAACTGTGTAAGAATTAATTTTAATTTTTTTCTCCATTGAAATCTCAAAACATTTTGAAAGGAAAAAATGCCAATATAATGTTTTTTAAAACTTTATCTTTTTGGGAGGATAACTTGAACCCAGGAGTTTGAGATCAGCCTGGGCAACATAACAAGACCCCATGTCTACAAAAAAGTATCTTTTAAAAAATAGCACTAATTCTTATTTTCTTGTTACATGCTGTATGTTTTTTGGCTATCTTTTATTATTAGGCTCTATTACCCTCCCATAACCCCATATTAGCAAGAGTGCAAACATCTTGAGAGAAGTGTTAGAAATTATCAAATGCATTCCATTGCTTTGCTTCTTACATACCAAAGACCAGACTAGAGTTGTGGCTTTTTAATAGATTTTGACATTGAATCCACTTTTCATATTTATAACATATACGGAGGAACATATGCAAAAAAAATGTCTAGTGAAGAAGAACATTTTTAGCAGTTCAGGAACAAAATGGAGAGCACCTATTCAATGTTTTATTGTGTCTCCTAATAGACTATAAGCTCTGTGAGTGCAGAGATCTGACATCATGGAACCCCAAGTACCCCGGGCATTGCCTGGGATGTGCTCTATGAAATATATGTTGAAAGAGTTGTTAAATGAAGAAGTGAATGCATGACCAAAGTGTATTAAATGATTTGTAGGTAAAAATATAAATATAAATATGCAAGAAATTCAAATTACAATTTCTATCTCGAACAACTCTTTGACTGGAATTTGGCAACTTCAGTTAGTGCAGTATCATTGATAACATTCTGTAATGAGGATATGGTAAAGGAGTTTATGAGTATTTTGTTCCTAGGCTTTCACAAAAATTACTGTGGCCAAAGATGATGTTAAATCAGCTCTGATGGCATGACCAAAATGAGGGCAGGCAAAAAATAAAGCTGAGTTCATTCACTGGCTGCAGAGACCTAAAGAGCAGCAGGTGAGCAGAGCAGCTGCTTCTGTGTTCTTTCATTTTGTGAATTGAACATCTTGGGAACTTTATTCCATTCAACATTTGTAGGGTAATATTAAAACTAAACAGCTATAGCATAAGAGAAGATCTTTTCAGTCATCATGTCAATTATTTAAAGCTCCCTCTCCAAAGAAAAACTAAAGAAAGCAAAGCATACTACTGTGCTAATTTGGACCTTTAAGAAGATTTAGGCCACATCAATATCTCAGTATCTTATCAAGTCTAAAGCCTGAAATGACTTCTTATGTTCACATTTACCACATTGAACATCTTTGATCATGTGAAGTTTTTTATCAATGTATTTTATTGTTGTGTAGTAAAATTATTCTAGTTCCTTAAAAGTATTAGATCTTTGAGTCCAAAACATAAAAACCTAAGAAAATTAGTTAATAATGCTGACATGAACTCAAAATAGCAAAAGTGATTTTAGAGTTAGAGGGAATGGATACAAAAGAAGCTGTTCACTTCACCTTGTTTCAGGCTCCCATCACAACTAGATTAGCTTATCTAATCACAGAACTACAGGAATAAAATCAAGAAAGCAAATTCAGTTATCTTAAACCTTGAGTATTTAGTGAGTAGAAACAGACAGAGCAACCAGGACTTATATAGGATCCTCAAGGCCAAATTCAAAAGAAACTGAGTAGATTTTATAATTCAGAAGTCTTTTGCTTTTTCTCTTTCTTTTTCTCATCTTATATAGTATTTGCAAGTATTGTTCTGGAATAGATAATTACTATCATTTAAGACTGAATAGAGAACCAATATTTTCTTCAGAGAGAAGTAAACATTCTTTTGAGAACCCACTCAAACACAAACCAATTATGCTGAGTGACTAAGGGTAAGAGATATGAGATTCTGTTATTTAATAGAGCATTCTTAATTTATGGGAATTTTATAAGAAATTTATTAATCCCTTGTGATGAACTTCTTTGATATCTTATTCCTGAAAAATCAAAACACTGAGCAAGACATGAGAAAAGTTTTAGTATTTACATCTGCTATTGTACTAAAGGCTTTTCTTTTATTAATAATTTATAATAACATATGTTATTAACATAAATAAAACAATACCATATAATTTACTGAGTGTCTTCACACACATCCATGTATTTTACACTTTCTAAAAACCTATGAGAAAAATGTTATCTATATAAATACAGTTGTTCCCACGTATGTGGGGGATTGGTTCCAGGATCTCATGTGACTACCAAAATTCACGGCTGCCCTAGCCCTGCAACAGTTAGCCCTTTGGGACTCATGGATAGGAAAAATCAGCCTTCCATATCTGCAGGTTCCACATCCTATGAATACTGCATTTTCCATCCACAGTTGATTGAATCCAAGGATGCAGAACCTGCAGATACAGAGTTTATGAGTTTATATACATATAAACTCATAGAGGGCTGATTATAAATACATATATCAAATATTATAAATATTAAATCCATTAAGCAGATGAGAATACTGAAGCTTAAGGAAATCTATCTGTGACCCTCTAAAGTTACAGGACTTGTAAATAGCAGAACCAGAAATCTCAGTCTGGAGATATTTAAAATGCATTAGTTTTTTCATTATACCATAGTCAATGTGTACATTTTAATACAGATGCCAAAAATATCAATTATTAAACCATTTATTACCACTCTTCAATGTGACTCATAATGATTAATCTGGCAGACAATAAATGTCATCTACTTACAGCTGAATACAAAATGCTCCAAAACCCAAAACTAATTTTGCAAGTAGCAGTTTGCTTCAGTGTGATTAAATGCTATGGCATTTTGATGGATCAAGTCTGGCAACACTCACCTCTTTTTGACGGTATTTAATGGCCAATTTTAGTCTTGCAAGATCATTTCCACTTTGTTCTTCTATCAGACTATTGTCATCTCGGTAATTAAGAATGATTTCCAGTTCTCTGGAACTTCTCGTCTGATCCAGTAGGTCCTTAGCAAATTGTTTGCACTGCCGTGACAGCTCTTCATACTCTGACTTGAATTCATTTTCCACCTTGCTCAGTTCCTGAAGCTCCCAACTTAACTGAAAGGCTGTGAGAAAAGGATCTTCACTTGACAGTGCAATGAGAGAGGGACTGGCCAAGGCCTTGTAGATGTTGAGTCTGGAGCGTGAGTGACGGAGGCTGTCCACGTCTGAACTGGACACACATTCCACACAGTTACAGCGGACTTCATGGGGTCGAGGCACTGATACCCCTTTCTGAACCAAGAGTTTTATTATCTCATAGTTATTTGTATGGGCTGCCAAAATGATTGGTGTAATGTCCGGAGTGAATTCAGAGAACTGCTTATCAAGGAGTATAGGAGGCACCTAAAAAAGAGAAAGGTAGAGGTGATGAATATTTGTTCATTTGTTCAGGCCTGTGTATTTCATGCACCATACTATAGCAATGTGGAACAGGGTTCATAAGTCTTTGGCCAGGTTTTTTTTTTTTTTTTTTCTTGCAGGAAGATATGACCTTTTCCCCTACAAAAAACAAAACAAAATTGGAAAAAAAAATACTTTCCAGTATGATACATTATTCTTTCTTTAATCTGAATTATGACATTTTGCAGCATCTTAAAATAGGTGGTTATGGAAACTCTTTACTTGATGAAAGTCTTTCTTTCTTTTAAATAAGCCTAGGTTGTTTTCTAGCTGACAATCTTTGCTTTGCTTTCTCAGAGATGTTGACTTCCTAAATAATCAAGAAATACACTCAAAAATAGCTAATGATTTGTTTTAAACCCAAGCTCGCTCTTTTCAGTAGAAGTCTCTTAATTCCTCATGTAGGTTTTGTCTTTTGTTTGATTTTACTGTGTTTTAGCTTCTGCTTTCCTATCATTCAGCCTAGTGACTAAAGGTGGCAGCAAAAGGAAGTGGGCTGGCCTCATACTTTTTCTTTTCATTCATACATTTCTGGTATATTTCCCAGATGACAAGAAGTGCTCCATTGCTAGCATTAGTGTTTTATCAGAAATAAACAAGCATTGAGTCAAGTCAGCAGTGTGAATTCAAGAATCAGGCCACCAATGTGTTTATGCACGATTTCCTTTGGCTTATACTCTAGGGATGGCAATGATGAAAATAATAATGGCTGCTATTTAGTAAGCATCTGCTAAGTACATTAACCCTCACTTTTTGTTATTCACATTTTTACAGATATGGTTCCTTAGTGAGTAAGTGGAAGACCTGCAGTTTGACCTGCAACTTCCACATACTTTAAAGACTTTATATAATAAACACAGGTTCACCTGTCTGACACCCAAGCCTGAGTGAATTACACTACACTATGTTGCTTTAGCAAAATTTTGGTTTAATATTTATTTTTGCTGGCACAGAACCACAGAGGCGTTTATGAAAAATAAATGCTACCTAAGGACAGTTAAACAGGCATGGCAGAAAAAAATGATGATGCATGTCACATTGAAATATGCTGCTGGAAAAATGAAGGAAATCACAAGAGGATCAGAGGAAAACAACCATGTAGAGAAAAGCAACACTTACGATGACACTTCATTAATGCTACTTTTAAATATAGGTACATTTTTATATACAAATAACACCGAAGATAATAAGAATGAAATTATCTATTTAGAAGATCCTTTACAGAGGTATGCAATTATTTAACACTGAAGATGGTAATAAACGCTTTTGAAGTGCGCTTACGAATACCAAGGTGACCACACTGCCTGTTAAGATAGTGTTTTACATTTGTATGCTTTGGGGCCATTATGCAGGTAAATAAAGTTTCCTTGGTCACAAGCACTGCAATCCCATGACAGTAAATCTGATAACCAAGATGGCTTCTAAGTGATTAAGGTTCGGGAAGTGGGTGCAGTGTGCATCTGTCTGACAAAGTGAGAATTCATGTTCCAGGTGAGACTGAGTGAGTCAACTCGAGATTTCGTTGTGCTGTTCAGAGTGGTGCAAAATTTACAACTTATGTATTATTTCTGAAATTTTCAATTCAATATTTTCAGACCACAGTTGAGTGTTGATAACTAAAACTGCTGACAGTGAAACCTTGGAGATGAGGGGACTACTGTACCTTTAGTGTTTTCTGTGGCAGACAATGAGGGAAGACAAAACAATATTACTCATTTTCTATATTAGATGTATATTTAAGTGACTGATGTAATTGGAAGGCATTTTCTGGATTCAGTACAATTTCATCTTGGATATCTATGCTTTTTAATCCATCAAGAATTTGAAATTTATTAACCATAAAATACATCTTTGTAGAATATTGCAGGAAATTTTATTTTTAAAATAGGTATAATATGACCCTACTGAACAACATACATATCTAAAAAAAAATAACAGTGTAAAAGTATTAAAGGGAGATATGATAAGTTTATTAAAACATGTAAGAATACACCAAGAATATACTGCTTGAGTTTTAGTACTCAATAAACCATTGCATATTATAATTTTTAAAAAATATATAAACATTTATAACCAATTATTTTAAATTATTAAACTTTATTATTTAAAATGATTTTTGAATGGAACTAATCTATAGGTCCACTAATAACAATTCATTGGTCAGTAAATGATATGGTTTGGCTTTGTGTCCCCACCCAAATCTCATCTTGAATTGCACACCTCATGTATGGAGGGAGATACTTGGTGAGCCGTGATTGGATTATGCACATGGTTTCCCCCATGCTGTTCTTGTAACAGAGAGTTCTCACAAGATAGGGCTGTTTGATAAGTGTCTGGTGATTCCCCCTTCTTGCTCTCTCTCTGTCCTGCTGCCATGTAAGACGTGCCTTCCTTCCTCTTTGCCTTCCGCCATGGTAATCAGTTTCTTGAAGCCTCCTCAGCCACATGGAACTGTGAGTTAATGAAGCCTCTTTCCTTTATAAATTACCCAGTCTCGGGTAGTATCTTTACAGAAGTGTGAAAATGGACTAATACAGTAAATAACTAGTTTTAAATTACATAATTATAATTATAATTATTTTAGAGCTTACTCTTACTCTAAAATGTATTTGAAATTCAACATTTACCATTAATTGCCTGGCACCCAGCTGGTCATAGATTGTCTGACATCAGGGACTGATTGTCTTAGCTGGACTCCACGTGGGACTCTGCTGGGATCCTCACTCAGTGAGACAGGCAAAACATTAGAGTTTACCTAGGTCTCAAGAGACAGGTTTGGGTCTTCTCCAATTGTGTGAAAACAATAAAGCAAAACAAAAGTGTTTTAAAAAATAATTGACTGTTATGGAGTACTAACTATATGCCTATATCAGTTATTACATGGTGTTTGAAAGTCTGAGGTTTTCTTATTCTCTCATCACTTCTACATTTATTACCTTGCATTCTTCTGTGTATGAAAGTTCTCCCTCTTCTCCTTTCTGTTGTCAGATATTGCTATGACCCCATGAATTTTATTTAATAAATGAAATGTAATGATTGATTACTATCACTATTCATTTTATACTTGTTGTTGAATTATACATGTAGTAAAATGGATAACTATTAATACACAACTTGATGACTTTTAAAAATCTGAACATGCTTAGGTAACACAATCAGATTAAAACCTAGCAGAGTTAATGCACCCCACAAGCCTCCTTCTTGTTACCCTTCTCAGTTAGTACTTTTCTCAGATATAATCACAAATTAAAAGGTTATCAGTATAAATTACTTTCACACACTTTTTCAACTTTATATAAATAGAATCACAAAATATGCACTCTTTATGTCTAGCTTTCTTTGTTCAATTTTAGCTCTTTGAAATACATTTCTACTATTAGTAGCAAAAACTGTTTTTTCAGTTCTGCATAATATTTCAATTTCTATTTTATTTCATTCCATTGTTGATGACATTTTTGTGGTTTCCAGACTGGGGCCATTAAGAATATTGCTCCTATGCACATTTTATTTCTGTTTTGAAAATGAGGAAATAATGTACCTATATGTTGATCTTGTATCAAGGAATGGAATTTTTGTGTCACACAGTTTTCTTAAGCACTTATACCAACTCATATGCCCACCAGCAATTATACTTGGTTTCATTTATTTATTATATTTATACCATTTATAAATAATTTTTTATTTATTATCAAAAATGAGTGTTGAATTTTGTCTAATGCCTTTTCTGTTTCTATGGATATAATCATATAATTGTCTTCCTTAGTCCTAAAAGTATGCCAAATTAGATTAATGGATTCCTGAATATTGAAACATTCTGGCTTTCCTGAAATTAATCCCACATGGTCAAATGCGTAATGTTTTTATTTTGGCAATTTTATTATTTAAATAGTTTGGAATCTATTTTCCTAAGTGGGATGAATTTCTAAACTTCACTGCTTCACTGTACTGTCTTTATTGGGTTTTGGTATAGATGTGAAGCTTTCTTCACTAAAAGAATAAGAATCTCATGCCTATAATTCCTGCACTTTGGGAGGCTGAGGTGGGCGGATCATGAGGTTAGGAGTTCGAGACCAGCCTGACCAACATGGTGAAACCTCGACTCTACTAATAATACAAAAATAGGCTGGCATAGTGGCAGGCAACTGTAATCCCAATTACTGGGGAGGCTGAGGCAGGAGAATCACTTGAACCTGGGAGGAGGTTGTGATGAGCTGAGATCACACCATTGCCCTCCAGCCTGCGGGACAGAATGAGACTCTGTCTCAAAAAAAAAAAAAAAAAAAAAAAAAAAAAAAAAAAAAAGAATAAGAATGCTTTCCTCCTGTAGAAAACAGAGATGTGGCATTCGTAACACCCTTCAAGAATGGACTTGCTGTCCAGCTATGAAGAGCGTAGTCTACTAGCAACCTCTACCTGCTAACTGCTTCAGGTTCTTCCTCAGTTTTAAAGCACAGCACAATGGAGGAGCAAGCAGAGTGGATGGGCAGGGCCCAGCTATTTCCACCCAGCACAGGACGTGGCTCACTAGGCAGCCATTTGCTCTGGAGTTCCTCTTTACAGTGGCAGGAACATTCGTCAGCTCTGCATCAGGGTCTAATGGCTTTTACTTCTCAATCTGCTTCCTTTTCTTTTACTTTCAAAGATGCTATTCAAAATATACACAAATGTAGGAAAATGTATATTTTATTTCTGTTTTAAAAATGAGGAAATAATGAGAGAGAGAGAGAAAGAGAAAGAAGGGTCTGATAAACGACTTTGTGGTTAGCCAGCTAATAGAATAGAAGCTTTAATAAAGGAAACTGGGACCATACAGTTACTATAAACTTATCAATATAAAATATAAACCATTCTAAAGAAATAGACAGATCTTCGAGATCTTCAGTTCTTTCCCTCCACTACTGCAAATGTGATTTTTCCAATATAGAAACCTCTTCAGGCTATTC